GGTGTCCGATGGAAGACGCCGAAACATCCCCCGACTCAAAAACCTTGGGTTTTAAAGCATGCATTGCACTCTTTTCCTTCGTATCGGATTTTATCCCAAGAAGGGTTTTACCGGCAACGTTTTTAATGAGGCAACATCTATATGCTACCTAAGTAGAACTTAACAAGTATTCAAGGCTTCTCTTCAATCAACCTCAAATACTGGGGGGTATCCCCCCGGCAGATCACCTCCTCGGAGAAGCCAATATGAGCCAAAAAGGGTCTCGACAGGAAAATGATGTATCGAGCCAAACGGTCGAACGAACCGTGTCCGCATAGAATAATCGAGCCCTTGACAACGAAAACATGTATACTTGTGCCAAGTAATCAAAGAATACTTTTTCTTCCGTCAAATCGCTTTGCGCTTCAAAAAGAAGTATGCTATTTTTACAAGAAACGGCTCTAGAGCCAGGAATTTCCCGAACACCCGGGGACTGACGTCAAAAACTCGAAGCCATATGACCTCCGGGTCGGAAACTTCAAACTTGTAAGCCCTCAATGAGGCAACACCAAGTTTACAAAGAACGGCTCCAGAGCCAAAAAAAATTTCGATGTCTCGGGGACTGTCGCCGACTGTCACTCCATCGAATTGTCGAAAACTCGAGGCAATAAGACCCCATGCGGGCAACCTCGAGCTCATAAGACCTTCATAAGGCAATACCAAACCTATAAGACCTCAAGTAAGGCATGTCAAAATTTGTAAGACCTTACAAAGGCATAATCCCGATCTTAAAGTTAAGGCTATATATTCGAAATTGTAAGACCCCTAAAAAGGCATACCCTCGATATAAACGTCGAAACTACTTCACTCGGGGACTGAAAGGCTACGACCAAACACAATGGCTACGGTCACAAGGCTCCGACCAAACCAACGCGACTCGGGGACGCTCGACCGTCGCTATTAAATCATAGGCCTTCAAATTACTTCAAAATACTTCAAAAAGAACCGGTTAATCAGGATACCCTCGGCATAAGCAAAAGAGCTTCGATCAGATCAGCTCCAAACAACAGGCTTCGAAACAATTCAGCCATCGAGCAAAACCTCTCGAGGTGCTCATTTATCGCTGTATAACGGCTCACAATCGAGGTTCTTATCAAACCGTCGAAGAGTCAGGCGAACACAAAAACTTCAAAAAGTCTTTAACGAGGGAAAAATAAAACCTATATTAGAGCTCGTACCGACCCAAAGCATAAGAGCCGAAGCGCTAGCCTACATTAAAGGTCGTACCAACCAATGCGTAAGAGTCTAAGTGCCATCCTACATTAGAGGTCGTACCGACCCAACGCGTAAGAGCCCAGACACCAGCCTACATTAGAGGTCGTACCGACCCAACGCGTAAGAGCTTAAGAGTCAGCATAAAATTCAAAAACTTAAGGGTCAATGAGCTCGAGTCGAAATCCGACTCGAAGATTGAGCCCGAAACAGTTAACTAAAAAACGTCTAAGGGCAAATGCATAAGAGCCTACGAGCCAGCCCAACAAGACTCAGGGCCGATTTGTAAACCTAAGGGTTTTACCTCGAACGTATAAATTCAAAAGAAAGAAAGACATACACAAGCAAAGGAAAAATTCATTAAAGATGAAGCCGAAAGACTTCCCTTTATACGTATATATGAAAAAATACAAAGCTCCATTTACAATGTTTTCTAAGAGAATTATACGTAGAATCAGAAAAGAAAGGCCTCGTCTACGTTCCCCTCAGGGACTGTGGCCCGTCGACCTCTTCCTCATTATCTTTGGCATCGGACAAGAGAAACTTGCCGTCATATTCATCCGCCTTTGCCTGCTTTATCTCTTCCGAGAGATCGAAGCCCCTAGCGTAGATCTCCTCGAGGGTTTCCCTCCGAGATTTGCACCGAGCATATTCATTGCTTCTACTCTCTCGATCGAAAGCCCCTCTCAGCTCATCTCGAGCGTCAGCAGCGTCTTTTAAATAGACGACCACTTTCTTATCAGCCTTAGCTCGAATCTCTTCAGCTTCAGCCCGGGCGTCCATGACCTCAGCCTTCATCTTCAAAAGGTCGGACTCGATCCTTGCAATCCTACTCATCTGGACCAAGATGTTTTTACGAGCATTCCAGAATTGCACCTTGAGGGCAGAAGCCTTGGCCAAAGCATTCTTCTTGGCCGCAACTTGGGCATCAGCCTGAGCTTTTAGCTCATCACACTCACACTTGGCCTGACCAACTTCGCCCCAAAGGCGTACCAGGTCCTCCGACTTTCTCTGCAACTGAAGTGTCAAAATATTAATCTCAGAGGGTAGAAGAAGAAACATGCACCCCCTCGAAACAGAGGTTACCTATCCCTCAAGGTAGCTTTCGTAGTTCCGGCTCCGACTTGCCTCGTACCGTAGGTATACCAACTTCTCTGCCCTTTTGTCACAAAGAAGCCTGAGGGATTTCTCCCCGCCCAAGGCTTTTCGCAACCTGGCTTCACGGCGAAGCAGCTTGGACTTAAGCTTGTCAAAGGCCTATGAAAAAGGAGCTCAACAAGAAAATGAAAGTGCAAAGCTGAAGCAACAATACAATCGACCAAAACTCACCACAGAACAGAGCCGCTGAGCCTTCTCAAAAGTTGAGCGCACATCTACTGGCCTGGTCTCATCAGCCCCAGTAGAACCGCTCCCAATAGGAATGTGATCGTTTGAGACTTCGCTTGAGTTAGGCGGCCCCTGGCCTCGAACGTCCCTCGAAGTACCTTCGACGGGAGAAGAAGACGGCGGCAGAAAATCCATGTCCCTCGAAGTACCTTCGACAGAAAAAGAAGACAACGGCAAAGGAGGAACCATTTTTACGAGGCCAGAAGCCTCGGGTACTGCAGGCTCAGCTGATACATCTTCTCTGAGCATCCGGGATGGACTTGTCTCGCTATGAGCACCTTCGCCCTTCAAGGGTTCCTTCCGTTTGTTATTATTCCTCGGTCCCAAAGACGACGATCCTTCCTCCTCTTCGAGGGGGCACGGTCTTATCTCAGAAAATTCCCCCAATGCCTACAATGATGGAGTTAGCACAAATAAAAGAAAGTACCTTTCAAAGAAAACAAACTACACGGCACGTACCGGGTGTTTTGCCTCCCATCTACCCTTGGACAGATCTCGCCACTTACGCTCATCATAGGTCGAGCGGGCTGCCAGCTTCCAAGACCAATCCGTAAGGTCGGGGACCTCGTATGGCATCCACAGGATTGCTGCAAAAAAGAAAAGGAAAGCGTCTTTACAGAATCCGCCTCCACCATGAGCAAAAATGATAAAAACACAAGTGTACCACTTACGTGTGAAATTCCATTTCTCAGAAAATGGCAGGAACTCCACGAGGATAATATCAACAGTCCGTACTCGGACGAATCAACTCATCCACCCTCGGTCCCCATCTTCTTCATCATCGACAACAAAGGGCCTGGTAGATCGACATCGTAAAGTAATCAGACCTCGGTGATGAAAGGGCCGGTACAGTCTGATGAGATGGCTAAGAGTGAACTCGAGCCCGGCTTCCCCGCAAAGAACCTCATCATCAATACTATCCTCCGGAACAACGGGTGAACCTGTGCCAGGGTAGCCCGATATCTTCGACAGACGTCGAGCACGACTCTGTCGAGAGGGCCCAACGCAAAGGGGTGCGTGTATACATTCAAAAACCCCTCTACATGAGGCATGATGCTCTCTTCCAGGGAAGGTACCTACAGTACCACCTTTTCTGCCCATCCGTAGTCTCTCCTCACTGCCTCGAGGTGTCCCTCTCTTATTGACGAAATGAACCTCGATGCATACTCCCAATAGCCCTGAACATTGGGAGGTCTCCCTAACATAGAGTCCCTCCTCGAGACAACACCTCTCGGGGTTAGCTCACCGGACGCCGGCAGTGTACCACCAACCGAGCGGGAAGCAGAGGTGGAACTCTCCTCTTCTTGGTGAACAGTTTTGGGCGTGGCAGCCATAATTGTGGTGGAACAAGAGAAGGGAAACGAGAACTTAAGAGAAACCTTCGAATTAAATTGGTGAAAGAGGTGACGCAAGAAATTCAAGAGTTCAAGACTGTTTCTTATCATTTTCATTCTAAGAAACGGGGGGACTATCTGTATACGGCTAAAATTGGAGAGCCCAATTTTACAATCATTGTGTCTTGCCGTAGCGTCACCTTGAAGGACCGGGGCACAGCTCGAGGTTCGACCTCGAGGGTTCTTTATATCCGACCTCGGGGCAACACAAATCGATTGTTATCATGGATAAGCGGGAAGTTCCCTAGGCACGTCGTCAAAGCTGACAACACCTGCAAGAATTGTACCAGTCTATACCAGACTACTAAGTAGTTTTACCAGCTACGTTTCTTTGTAATAAATGCATATGTACTATATGTGAGCACCTAATTTTTTCCCTATATGTAATACTCCTATAAAATTCCAAGAAAATAGATTTTTGTTAATTATTTGCCATTTTAGGAAATTTTTTTTTAGAATTTTCTTAATTATTTGCATTTTTCTGTGCATGTTTAATTTATTTAAATCATGAAAAAAATACCAAAAAAAATCATGCATTTGCATTTAGGATTTGTTTTACATTTTTAGAATTAATCAGTAATTATTTGTTTTATAGAAATTTGAAAAATCACAGAAATAGCTTATTTTTTACAATTTTTGTCTTTAATTTTTAGCTTATTGATTTTTTAGAATTAATTAATTTTTATAATTTTTATAATTAATTAGTGTAATTTCATATTTTTAGATAATATAGGATTTTTAATTAAAAAAAGAAAAAAGAAAAACAAAGAAAAAAGGAAAATAAAAAGAGAATTTGAAAGATGGGGTTTTAATTCAAATTTGGGTTGTTCTTTTATCAAAAGTCTGGCCCAAACCACTCATAGCCAAACCCATGACCCGAACCGACCCAACTCATTAACCCATTACCCATTTTCCTAAAAAGACCTAGGGATACACATTAAATAGATCAACAAACTTAAGAGATCACCAGATATTTGGAGATCCCTCACCCTGAGAAAAGACAGAGCAGCGACGCTCCATTAAAAGAAGGAGACGGAAACCAGACCCTCCGATCAGCTCCCTTCTTCCTCCACAGACCCCAAGGACCAGCGCCACTCTCCATCAGCTGGTCCAAAAACGAGGAACACCCCCTTTATCTTCTTCTTCACCCCAAAGAGGAAATTTTCTTTTAGCTTTGTCTCAGTCGATTTCCGGAAAAAAAAGAATAATCATAAAAGATAAAAAAGAAAATGAGGAGAACTTTGTTTCTGTTTTGATTTTTTAACTCATGGAATTCGAGTGAGAATTGTCGGGTTTGAAGTTGGCTGATATCCGAGATTTCACAAGTTGTTTCACTTAGCCGATACTCTGTGTAACCTCTGGGATTTTCGAGTTTAGATTGAGATATTAAAGGACTGTTGTTGCTGAAATCGCTGTTGCTGCTTTGTTAAGCTCGGATTCATCTTCGTCTCCATATCCTTACTTGGCTCATTGTGTACTATTTGTCGGCTATTCAGGTACTGATTTTCACCTCAAATCATGTGACCACTATACATATCTCATAGCATTATAAAATCTGCCTCCATTTCGTTCATCTATAGGTTTGATTAATACTCCTTCACTGTTTAACTATAAGTTCGGATGGAATGTTTGAAGTGAAGCCAATATGAACTGGGCTTTTGATTGGTAAAAATTAGTATGTGAATGGTTGCTATTTGTATATGTTCCCCAAAATTCGGCTAGCTAATTTTATCTACCATTTGATCTAAGCATGTTGTCAGTTCAATGTTATATGCAAATGGGTTTATGATGATTCATGTTGACACGCTTCTCTCTGATTAATTTTGTTATTATTTTTCCATATATCTTGATTTTAAGTTGGTGCTCATGATTGAATAATTTTAATAATTCAGTTTTATGCTGAAATGAACCTAGAATTGTCAGTTAATTTTGGTTACAAGAACATGAGTTGATTGATTCAGAGGCATTTATTTTCTTTTGTTCACTGTTGCTAAAAATGAATTTGGCCTTAGTGGTAGATGTAACACCGTAAAAGATTAGGTCTTTAGTTTGTTTGCAACTGGGTTGGGCCTCTTGAAATGATAATTAAAGTAAGAAGGTTAGGCTTAAGACATTTGTTGGACTTCTGTTTTAATTGGACTGTAGGTCGAAATTTTTTTAAAGCAGCTAAGGCCCATGGGTATAATTCAGGCGTCCCTTTTTCATAGATAAGGATTAATATAACTCACCTTTCCATAACTCAATCATACACTTTATCCACAATAATTCCATAACTTATGGCCCTCAAAAGTAGTTCAAACATCCTTTGAAATTAGAATCGAGGTGTGCCATTAGTTGAATTTTTCATGGCCCTCGCAAACTTGAAAGTGCGTAGTTGCTTTAGGCGCGCTATTTAAATTAATTTCCTTAAACTCGGGTGTGCATTTCATGTGACCCAACTCCAATTCTCAACAACGTTAAATAAAATGTGTCGTGGATCGCGGGTGCATTTCATGTGACGTGGTTCAAGGCGTGTTTTAAATAACGTTGAATCTTCCCTAAAATAATTAAAAAGCAGTTTAATAAGTTAAAATGTACTATAGGCTAAAACATGTACTAAATTCAGATAATAGGCCAATTATAATAGTTTAAAGCGACCGTGCTAGAACCACAGAATCCGAGGGTGCCTAACACCTTCCCTCGGGTTAACAAAATTCCTTATTCAGAATTTCTGGTTCGCAGACTTCAAAAGGAAAGTCGAAATTTTCCTCGATTTGGGATTTAAAATAAATCGATGACTTGGGACACCAATTAAACTATCCCAAGTGGCGACTCTGAATTGAATAAATAATCTCATTTTGAATAATGTCACGTAAAGTGGAAAAACTCCCTTATATCCCCCTCGGGTCGGGTGTAAAAAGGAGGTGTGACACTATATTAGGATTCCCCCTCCTATATAAAGGGGGCCCTTGTTATTTCTTGAGGAGGATATTATTGAATAAAAGAACAAAAACATTCTCTGCTCTTTAACTTAAGTATATTCTCTCTTGATTCCATTACTTACATTTATTGCTTACATTTACTATGTTTCATTAATTGTTCTTCATTTATTACTCATTATTGATCATAAAGAGCCCTCATCAAGGCCCTTAGAATTGTTAGGCCTTCATCGGCCGTTCACAGCCTAACGCTTAGCTCGACCTCGAGGCCTTGCATAGGCCAGCTCGAGGCCGCGATCCTCAGCCACTCGGTTTGCTTGACACGCTACCTTCAAGCTCTTATCTTACTTTCTAGTCTCACGCTTAGCATCTACTGCGTAACAACTAGCATAAAAATAAATCACGTATTTTTAGAATCATAAAATCAAATCTAATTGTAATTACCATTTTCAAGGTAAACAACCTTATACGGTGCCATCTGAATGCTGGACTGATAACTATTGTTGTAGGAAAACTCCGCAAGTGGCAAGAACTGATCCCAAGAACCTCCAAACTCCATCACACACGCACGGAGCATATCCCCAAAAATCTGAATAGTGCGCTCGGACTGTCCGTCTGTCTGGGGGTGAAATGTTGTGCTCAACTCCATCCGAGTACCTAACTCATGATGTACGGCCCTCCAGAGCCGTGATGTGAACTGAGTACCTCTATCTGAAATGATAGAAACTGGAATACCATGCAAGCGAACAATCTCCCGGATATAAATCTCAGCCAACCTCACTGAAGAATAAGTGGTACACACAGGAATGAAGTGTGCGGACTTGGTCCGCCGATCCACAATCACCCAAATAACATCAAACTTCCTTAAAGTCCGTGGGAGTCCAACTACGAAGTCCATGGTGATCCGCTCCCACTTCCACTGCGGATTCTCTATCTGCTGAAGCAAGCCACCCGGTTGGTGCTCATACTTCACCTGCTGACAATTGAGGCACCGAGCTACAAACCCAACTATATCTTTCTTCATCCGCCTCCACCAATAGTGCTGCCTCAAATCCTAGTACATCTTCGCGGCACCCGGATGGATGGAATACCGCAAACTGTGGGCCTCCTCTAGAATCAACTCCCAAAGCCCATCGACACTGGTACACATATCTGACCCTGCATTCTCAATACCCCGTCATCACCAATGGTCACATCTCTAGCATCACCCTACAGAACCTTGTCCCTGAGGATGAGCAAATGGGGTTCATCATACTAACGCTCCCTGATACGATCAAACAAGGAAAACCGAGAAACCACACAAGATAGGACCCGATTGGGCTCCGAATATCCAACCTAACAAACTGGCTAGCTAAGGCCTGAACATCCATTGCCATAGGCCTCTCTGCTTCCGGTAGATAAGCCAAACTCTCTGTCCGGCGACTCAAAGCGTAGGCCACCACGTTGGCCTTCCCTGGGTGGTATAAAAGTGATATCATAATCCTTAAGCAGCCCACCTCCTCTGCGCAAATTAAGGTCCTTCTGTTTGAATAGATGCTGCAAACTCCGGTGATCAGTGTAGATCTCACAAGGAATATCGTACAAATAATGACGCCAAATCTTCAAGGCGTGAATAATAGCAGCTAACTCAAGATCATGGACATGATAATTCTTCTCATGCACCTTCATCTGTCTGGACGCGCAGGCAATCACCCTACCGTCCTACATCAGTACCGCTCCAAGGCCAATCCTCTAGGCATCACAATAGACAGTATAAGACCCCAAACCTGTAGGCAATATCAATATGGGGGTTGTAGTTAAAGCTGTCTTTGAGCTTCTGAAAGCTCTCCTCACACTCTTTCTTCCACCTGAACGGAGCACCCTTCTGGTCAGCCTGGTCATAGGTGCTACAGTAGATGAAAATAACCCAACAAATTAGCGGTAATAACCCGCCAAGCCAAGAAAACTAAGGATCTCTGTAGCTAAGGATGGTCTGGGCCAACTCTGCACTACTTCCACTTTCTTCGGATCCACCTTGATCCCTTCACTCGATACCACGTGACCTAAGAATTCCACAGAATCCAACCAGAACTCACATTTCGAGAACTTCACATATAGTTTCTTTTCTCTCAAAGTCTGAAGCACTGTCCTCAGGTGCTGCTCATGATCCTCCCGACTCCGGGAGTATACCAGAATGTCAATAAAGACAATGACGAACGAGTCAAGATATGGCCGGAATACACTGTGCATCAAATGCATAAATGCTTATGGGCATTGGTCAGCCCAAATGACATAACAACGAACTCGTAATGACCATACCGAGTCCTGAAGGCAGTATTCGGGATATCTGGCTCCCGAATCTTCAACTGATGATAACCTGAACGCAAGTCAATCTTAGAAAACACTCAAGCACCCTGTAACTGATCAAACAGGTCATCAATACGAGGCAAAGGATACTGGTTCTTCACTGTAACTTTGTTCAACTGGCGATAATCAATGCACACACGCATAGAACCATCCTTTTTCTTCACAAACAAGACAGGAGCACCCCAAGGTGACACAGTAGGCCGAATAAAGCCCTTATCAAGCAATTCCTGTAACTGTTCCTTCAGCTCCTTCAACTCAGGAGGAGTCATATGATAAGGAGGAATAGAAATGGGCAGAGTTCCTGGCAACAATTCAATGCCAAAATCAATATCTATGTCGGGTGGCATACCCGGAAGATCAGCTGGAAACACATCAGGAAAATCCCTTACTACTGGGACTGAATCAACTGTAAGGGTATCAATACTGACATCTCTCACATAAGCTAGATACGCGTCACACCCCTTCTCAACCATTCGCTGAGCCTTAAGAAATGAAATAACTCTACTAGGAGTGTAATCTAAAGTACCCCTCCACTTTACTCGCGGTACACCTGGCATAGCCAGCGTCACGGTGTTGGTATAACAATCAAGGATAGCATAATGGGGCGACAACCAGTCCATGCCAAAGATAACATCAAAATCTACCATGCTGAGCTAATAAATCGGCTCTAGTCTCAAAACCACTAAGAGAAATCAAACACGGCCGATAAATGCAGTCCACAACAAGGGAATCTCCCACAGGAGTAGAAACATAAACAGGGAAAATCAAAGAATCCCGAGATACGCCCAAATGTGGGGCAAAATAAGAGGACACATAAGAATAAGTGGAGTCTAGATCGAATAAAACTGATGCATCTCTATGATAGACCGGAACAATACCTATGATGACGGAATTGGAGGCGACAGCCTCAGTACGGGCAGGAAGGGCATGGTATCTGGCCTGGCCTCCCCCTCTAGGACGACCCCTATCACCCCGACTTCCACCTCGGGCTGGCAGCACAGGTGGGGTGGCAGCTAGTACTGAAATCATGGCCTAAGGACCTGGTGGAGCACGTTGTGGCTGAGAAGGCTGTGGAGGTGCACCCTTCCTAAGCCTAGGGCAATCCCTCACCATATGGCGTGTGTCGCTACACTCAAAACAAGCTCTAGGAGGGCGTGGCGACTGTGACTGGCTCGGGCCAAGTCTGCTGGACTGACCACTAATGACACCTCGTGCAGGAGGCACACTAGATACTGGAGGTGCATAATAAGGCTCCTAAGGTATAGGCGGAACTAGAATACCACTAGCTACTGGAAGAGCTGAATGAACGGGGCGACTCACATAACCCCTACCATGGCGAACTGCAGCTAGGGCACGGGCACCAGAATAATGGCCCGACTCTCGAGACCTCTTGGCCTCTCTCTCCTCCCTATCCTGAGCAAGCATGCCATCTACTCTCCTAGCAATGCTCACCACCTGCTGATAAGCAATATCCATTTCCAACTCCCGGGCCATGCTAGACCTGATGCTGGGAATGAGCCCCTCAATAAGCCGGCAAACTCTCTCACGAACTGTAGAAACCAAGGCCGGTGCATGTCT